CGCCTTCCAGGTCACCAGGTAAATAAAAGCCATTTTTAATGGGGTTTGTTGTTATTGTTACTGTTTTAAGGAAACAGAAGTAGCCAATATTTGAGGCAGGTGTCTATAGTCACCAAGTCCTAAAAGTTTGAGTTATAGGCAAAGTCCATTCTGACAATGAATGGCCAAGGTCGGAAAAAAATTTTTTTACACTTAATAGTATTTTACTTTTTTCCCGATTACATGTAAAGATAGCTTTCAACATTTATTTTTGTAGGATTTTGAGCTCCAAATTTTTCTCCCTCCCTACCTCCCGTCCCTTCCCCTCCCCAAGACAGCAAGCAATCTGATATAGGTTATACACATACAATTATGTTAAACATATGAAAAAAATTTAATCAATAACTTAAATGAAAAGCATACAAGGTCACTCTATCACTGAACCACTATGTAGGAATAAAAATAAGAAGAAAGTGAATTATGAAAGTAAATATCATGTTCTCCTTCTCCCAGGAAATACACATTCAAATTCTGGTCAAGTGTTGAGGGCAGCTGCCATGGAGGAGAAGGGTCCCGCCCTCCTCAGAAGCCCTCTACGCAGGGGCTATGTCGCTGACCACCCTCTCCTCCTAGACTCGCTCCTCCCCAAGTTTCCATGTCCCTGCTCCCTCCTGTTCTCCTCCCAGCGTTCTTTGCTGGATCACCATCTGCCCATGTCCCACATGCTTAGATGTGGGTGCCCTCCAGGACTTTGGCCTTGCCCTCTTCTACTCTGTCTCTCCTCTCTCTCTTTGGTCTTCTCAGTTCCCATGGGTTCAGCTGTCTCTACTCAGACAACTCTCCATTTTACAAGTCCAGTGTTCAAGTCTTTTCTGAACTGTATTCCTGTATAACTATTGGACATCTCTATCTGGAATCTCCATGGGAATTCCAAAACTGAAATTCTCTTACCCCCTTCATCCTGACATCCCTGACCCTCCCTCCAAAAAAACTCATTAATTTTCCAATTTTTCCTGTTTCTGTGGGGGACACCATTCATTATCCTTCCAGTCCCTAGGTTCTTATTCTCATAATCATCCTTGCTTCTTCCTTCTCCCTTACCTTTCATATCCAATTAGTTTCCAAGGTCTGTGGATTGACCTCCACACTATCTTTTTTTTTTTTTTGGCTAGGCAATGGGGATAAGTAACTTGCCCAGGGTCACACAGCTAGTAAGTATCAAGTATATCAAGTGTCTGAGGATGGATTTGAACTCAGGTCCTCCTGACTACAGGGCCAGTGCTCTATGCACTGCATCACCTAGCTGCCCTCATACTATCTCTTCCATCTATCCCCTTGTCTTCACTCATACAACTATGACTCTAGTCAGCCCTCATCCCCTCTTGCCTGGACTACTGGACTTAGCTTCACTGGTCTCCCTCCCTTTAGTCTTTTCCCTCTCTTATCCTCTTCCTCTTCCTCTTCCTCTTCCTCTCTCTCTCTCTCTCTCTCTCTCTCTCTCTCTCTCTCTCTCTCTCTCTCTCTCCTCTCTCTCTCTTTCTCTCTCTCTAGCATTAGATATGTGATTTCACTGATGTAGACTGAGGAAGCTCCTTCTACAGAACCAGATCAGCAACTGCTTTGCAATTTATAAAGTTGCCTAGGGGTATCAAGAGATTAAGTGCCTTGCCCAGGGTTTTGAGGTATGCATCAGAATCAGAATTTGAACCCAGGTCTTCCTGACTGATGCCAGCTCTCCATTCACTATGCTAGGCTGCTTCTAAATATAATCTATTTTTCACACAGTTGTCAAATTGCTATTCCCAAAGCACAGATCTGAACATGTCACTCCCCTACTCAAGAAGTTTCAGTGGCTCCCTATTGTCTCTAGAATAAAATATTTTTCAGTGGTTATAGATCTCTTCCATGAGGCTCTGTAATGTTTGGGGACTTAACACAATGAGCACAATGTCACCTGCAAACAGGAACATCTGGATGACCTCATCATCCACAGAAAATCCCTCTCCAACTTGGTAACAATAACGATAAGGATGATAATGATAGCTAGCATTTATATAGCACCTACTATGTGCCAGGCACTGTGCTAAGTGCTTCACAAATATTCTCTCATTTGACCCTCACTACAACCCTGGGAGGTAGGTACTATTATTATCTCCATTTTACAGTTGAGGAAACTGAGGCAATTAGAGGCGAAGTAACTTGCACAAAGTCACAGAGCTAATATCTGAGTCACATTTGAGCTCAAGTCTTCCTGACTCCAGGCCCAGCACTCTATCCTTACTACCGACTTGAACTCTGTCCTGGATCTCCTCCACGACTGATGAACATCTTTTATGAGTACGCTTCTTTTTGTTTATGCCTTGCTTAAGACGATATTTTGTTCTACCAAGTCAACTGCTTCAAAAAAAAAGATCAGAGGGTCATTGAACAAGGTTGTCTCTGTTGTTAGGGGCAGCTAGGTAGTGTTGTAGATAGAATGCCAACCTTGGAGCCAGGAAAATTCATCTTCTGGAATTCAAATCCAGCCTCAAATACAATGCTTATTAGCTGTGTGACCCTGGGCAAGTCACAACCCTGTTTGCCTCAGTTTCCTTATCTGTAAAATGAACTGAAGAAGGAAATGGCAAACCACTCCAATATCTTTGCCAAGAAAACCCCAATCGGATCACACAAGAGTCTGAAAGGACTGAACAAGTTCTGTTATTCTATATCTGACCACTAGGGGGAGAGTGTGAGCAATAGCAGCAGCTCTAACTGAAAGCAATAGCTGCTAGCCAACCCTTGTTAAAATTCATACATTTCTCCAAATTACTCCACTTCTGCTAAGGCCAGGCTTTCAGCAAGGCTGCTGCAGGCCCACAACAAAGCATCCTCAGGCTTTCTTCACAGGTCAGTTTTCTCAGCACCTTTTTTTCTCACATTAAGTTCATTAAAAAAAAACAAGCTAATGTCAAGGGCTTGAATAATCACCAATATATTGCTAATAAATTACATGGAGTCTCTCTTGCTCTGTAATTGGCTCTGCCCCCACCCCCATCACCAGTTTGCACCGAAAAAAAATATCAACTGTCTCTTAAAGGATTTTAGTTCTCATCATCACTTTTTTACTCCACACAAACAATAAACAGTTCCATCAAGTTTTTATAATAACTATTTAGATAGCACAGAAATCGAAAGTAAGCCATTAAAATATAACTTGCCTGAAAACCATTTATAGGAACTAAAAGGGGACAAAAATTGCCTTTTTTCCTCTCCAGCCCTTCTCCCATGAATCAGAAGGGGGAAAGCAGAAAGTAAAGGATTTTTTGGTAAATGGAAAAATGGTTTCCCCCCATGACAGCGTTGGAGGAAAGAAAAATTGGAGGAGGGGGTGTCATAAATGGGATTGGTAATCCTCAATAGCCTCAGGGCTGGTTTGTCACTGCCTTACTCCTGATGGTTTTTGCTTGGTTGCTAATTTACCCCACTCAAGTTGCAGTTTTGAATGGTCTACACCTTTCCGCACCCGCTTCCCTCTGAGCCTTAGGTCTATAGTCTCCCTGAGAGCTCAGGTGATGACCACCCACTAAGACTGTTTCCTGCTCTAATGGCAAGATATGTCCTGGTATTTACTCCTTCCTCAGAGGTTCCTTAGGCAAAGTGGAGACTCCTCATTCTCTTTTTAGAAGTCCATTCAATGGGGCAGCTAAGTGGTGCAAGGGATAGAGCTCCAGCCTGAGTCAGGAGGACCTGAGATCTGGCTTCAGGCACTTACTACTTGTGTGACCCTGGGCAAGTCACTTAACTCGATTGCCTCACCAAAAGCAAAAAATAAATAAGTAAATAAATGGACTTCTTTAAGTCCATTCAATGTCAAGAACAAAACTGCTGTAGCAAGGGGAATTCTGGGTAGTCTGCCTGACTGTAGGCGGATACCTGGCCCATCAGGTTTCCATGGTAACTACTAGGGATGCATATTTTTCAAGGAATCTTGAATAATTTTAATATAGGATAAGAGACACCTTGTTGAAAGAGAGGCTTTAAAACACCATTTTGCTCTACTGGAATAACTGCTTTAAAAAAAAAAAGAATGATAAGTCCCAGATGTGCCTATGGAACAGGGGTTATTAACCTGGGGTCCACTCTAGGGGTTCATGAAATTAGATAGAAAAAAATAGTTTCATCTTAATATAATTGCCTTCCTTTGTAATTCTATGTACTGTATTTTATGCCTTGACAAACATTATTGGGAAAGAGGTACACAGGCTTCACCATATTGACAAAGGAGTCCAAAGCACAAAAAGAAGGTTAAGAACTTCTCATACAGAAGAAGTAGAAATAGCCCTAAAGAGAATAAATATGGAAAGAGCAGCTGAATTAGATTAAGTGTGCATAGAGGAGATCTAGGCTGTAGGTGACCTAATTTTGAGGGCATTGATGGATTGATTCACAAGGTATCTGAAGGAGGTGGAGATACTAAATTCATGGGGAAAAAATCTTGCACCTTATTAATATTGGGGGAAAAAGAGTGACCTAGAAAAAAATCAACATCTATCAACCTTTATAGCCACTTCTTCAAGTTTCATGAGAATCACAAGAGCATCCTCAGTAAGGGCATGAGTAGGGACCATGCAGCAGTATTTCTGCAACTGACATTTTGTACTAGTACATATCTCTATTATTACACAGCTGAATGAAAGATGTAGTACATACAAAATTCTCACTGTGACTTGTATGTAGTAAGTGTGTAATAATTGCTTCTTCAATCAAATTGAATTGAAAATGGTCCAGCTGATCTTTTTTTTCCCTACTTTTTGCATGTGTTGATAGCATTATCTGAAAATAAGGAAGCCAAAGAGAACTGGATCACATTTTTCTGAAAGTAGTTCAGCTGTCCCAAGGTGGCATTCTTCAGAATGAAGGCTTAGTGGATGGATTATCAGAGGAAATTTAAAGTTTAGCCCCAAGCAGAAAATACTTGGCATAGACAATTGAATTATAGTATAGGCTTGTGCATTTTACCTGATTTCATTTCCTCCCAGTCCCAGGGGTTACAAGGCAAGAGGATAAAATCATAGGATTGTCAGAGCTGGAAAGGACCTTTGGAATCATCTCATCTAATTCCCCCAATTATATAAATAAGGAAACGAAGTACCAGGGATTGTCCTTAGGTGCTGGAACATTCTTCCTTCTGACTAACAGGTAAATGAAGCAAGAGCAAAATATCAAAGGCTAATGCCAAAGAAAACACTTTATTTAAATGGCTTACTAAGTATTTATTGATCAATTGACTGATTGATTAGACCTGAGGAGTATGGTAGAATGGTTTTAATTATAATTCTCCATTTTCTCCTGAAATACCCAAAGGGTACAGATTAGGACTGACTATTAAAAGAGGAAGATGTTATATAGGTCTGACTTCTAGCTTCTCTCCATAGGCTACCTGATAGAACCAAAACAAATGGATGAGGTAGAGTCAGGGCAGTAATCAGACACTTCATTTCCCTAGACCCAGAGCCTGGATTACATCCTTCTGGAGGGGAGGGGCAAGGATCTGAGCAAAATGCATTGAATGGGTGCTCTCTTCTCATTTTTATACAAGTGAAGTCAGACACATCAAAGAAAATGTTTAAGGGTAAAAGAAGTCTAAATGCAGGTGGAGGAGTGTGTGGGGAATGGATGAGAGGGACACAGTTATCGGTTATTCTTAGCACCCTAAAATTTAGAGTTAGGCCTTTGAGATGATTTAGTCTGAACTCTTATTTTATATGTAACAAGTGCATTCATACAGCCCCAGAGCTGGAAAAGCTACACCTGCCCTTTGGGATGTTAGGAGTACCTTGAAGATTTTGGAATGTGTCTTCTCTAATCCCACCATCCCCAGGCCAGACCAACTGTATTTTCTCCACTATTAGGTGCCAGTGACTAGAGACCCAGTTGCATTTGACCACTTTAACATCAATCAGTTCTTACAAGGAGATAATTTGCTTTGAAGATGTAGCAACAACAAAAGGACAAACATTTCCCCTCAACATCTCAGAGGCTCATGCTCTTTTCCCTTATCTCACCTTGGTCTCTGGGTAAAGTGGGTTCAAGCTTACCTTGGGTTTTTCTTAACATTGGTCCCACCAAGTTCATATCCAAACGTCCTTGTCTCAGCTACTACTGGGCTGAATCCCAAAGGTCATTTTTGAAGGTAACTCTTTATTCCAGGAGGCATCAAATTCTGGGCTATTTGCAAAACCTGGATGCTGCAATGCCAAAGTTACTAATCCTTGATTCTAAAATAGAAAAGAACAGGGTCTTATTTCCAGAAGGTCATGTGGTTTGTGGCCTTAGTGCGGACTGACCAAGGCACTCTTGATTCTGGCTATACAGCCAATAAAAAAGGCACCTTCTAACCATGTGGTTAGAAGATTAGAACCAGCTGCAGAATGTCTATGCATACTCCATAGTCTCTCAAAGGCATTTCCATTTAATACCATCATCACTCTCTTGAAACAGGCACTTTAGCCTCTCCATATGGACAGAATCCTTTGGAAATGTTCTGTACACGTGCCAGTCCCTGAAGGGGATGGATGGAAGAAACTATGGCCCAGAAAAGTTAAATGACTTCTCTAAGGTCACAGGTTAAAGCATCATCAAGTGAAATCACAAATCTTTAGTAATAGAATTTTGTGCTCAATTAAATCCAGGAGTTCTGATTCCAAATCTAATATTCTTCCCACTGTAGCACACTATTATAGGCTAATAGTTCAGCAGCCAGTCAATAAGCATTTATTAAGCATCTACAATGTGCCAGCTACTGTGCTAAGTGCTAGGAATACAAAAGCAAATCCTGCTTCTCAAGGAGCTTATAGTCTAACCAGGGTTGTTGTTCAGTCATTTTTCAGTCATGTCCAACTCTTCATGAACCCATTTGAGGGTTTGGTTTTGTTTTGTTTTTTTGGCAAAGATACTGGAGTGGTTTGCCATTTCCTTCTCCAGCTCATTTTTACAGACCAGGAAACTGAGACAAACAGGTTAAGTGACTTGGCCAGGGTCACACAGCTAATAAGAATCTGAGGCCAGATTTTAACTCCAGAGGATAAGTCTTCCCGACCCTAGGCCTGGCATTCTATTCACTTCACCATCTAGCTGCCCCTTATGAAGGAGACAACATGAAAACAACTCTACAAGCGAGATATATATATATAGAGAGAGAATAAATTAGAGATAATAAACAGAGCAAAGCCATTAGCATTAAAGGAGATCTGGGAAAAGGCGAGATTTTTTTCTTTTTGGTGAGGCAATCGGGGCTAAGTGACTTGCTCAGGATCACACAGCTAGTAAGTGTCAAGTGTCTAAGGCTGGATTTGAACTCAGGTCCTCCTGACTTCAAGGCCAGATCTCTATCCACTGTGCCACCTAGCTGCCCCTAAGAGGTGGGATTTTTTCTGAACTTGAAGGAAGCCAAGGAAGCCAGGAGGCAAAAATGAAGAAGGAGAGAATTCTAGACATGGCCCAGGGATGGAGGGTGGGGGGATCAGTAAAAATGCAGTCAGGAGATGAATTGTCTTGTTCAAGGAACAGCAAAGAGGCCAGTGTCACTGGATTGCAGAGTAGGGGAGAGGAGGAGGGTGTAAGACGTTTGTAAAAGTGAGGGGCAAGAGAGGTTGTGACAGGTTTTAAAACCTAGACAGAAGATTCTTTTTTTATTTACTTTGATCCTGGAAGTGACAGAGAGCCAGTGGAGTTTGTTGAGTAGGGGGTGACTTAGTCAGACCTGTATTTTAGGAAGATCACTTTGACAGCTGGATGGAGGATAAACCAGAGTGAGGAGAGATTTGTATCTGGGAGACCAATAAGCAGACTATTGCAATAGTCCAGGTGGTAAGGGACTGAAACAGGGTGGTGGCAGGTCAGAGGAGAAAAGGGGGCACCGGCTTCTCTCCAAGGATATCTCCTTAAAGGACCGTAGGATCATAACATTTGGAGCTTGAAGTGTCATAGGCTTATAAGGACCTCAGAAATCCTCCGGTCCAGCCCCTTCATTTTACATATGAGAAAGTAGCACCTAAACAGATAAAGTGATTTGCCCCATTATAGAAAAGGAGAAGATCCAAAATCCCAACCTGGGTCATCTGACTCTCCCAATCCAGTATTTCTTCCACTGTAACATACTGACTCCATTGCCTGCTTGCAAAGGTCCCATTAAAGCATATGGTATGGGCATAAGTTGATCTAGCCTCTCCCTTTCCCAGCTGTTCTGATCAGAATAATACCTGAGCTGCCACAAAGCAAAGATACTGGAGTGGCTTGCCATTTCCACCTCCAGCTGATTTTACAGGAAACTGAGGCAAACAGGGTTAAATGACTTGCCCAGGGTCACACAGCTAGTCAGTGTCTGAGGCCATATTTGAAATCGGGAAGATGAGTCTAGATGGAGCACTCTATGCGTTGTGCCACCTAGCTGCCGGCTGCGCAGGGTGGGGAGGGTTTTTTGGATGGTGACTGTGAGAAACAGGAGTCTGTAGTAACAGAGGCAATCTGCAGCTGCCCGACAGCAGCAGAGTTCTTGAGCCAAGCTGGAAACCGCATGATTGTGCTGAAAGATGACGGTGGCAGCCCACAGGCGGTGGCAGTGACCGGGAGCCAGGATAAAGGCAGTGGATGCCAAAACAAAGGGAAAGCAGATCCAGGAGCGAAGGAAATCCAATTCTCCTTGTACAGCTGGGGAAACTAAAGCCCAGTGAAGTGACTTTCCCCAGACCAAAAAGGAATAAAATGACAAACCTAGATTAAAACCCACAGTCTTCCGACCCTTAATGCTCAGTACCACAGTACCTCGTTGCACAGTATCACATCGCTTTAAGGTTAGCCTCTGGTAGCCTACCTAGAACCATCTGCAGACGGATTATCTTCCAGCCCTCTGGGTCTACAAGGTGATGAAAGCCGCCCAACCAACAGCCTTCCTGGACTTGAGTAAGCATCATTGACCTGCTGCGGAGTCCAGAAGGCACCCCTTCTTCCCCCCGAGGGAAATCCTATCCTCCAGCTCCTCGTCTTCAGTCACATTTGAGGAGGAAAAGGGGAGAGGGAGAACGATTTCGTGGGCTTTGCTCCACCCACTGGATGAGAGGGTCCCCCGTGAAACAACGCAGCTGTGATGTGTTGAGTAGCCGAGTCCGGGACTTCGCGTTCGAATCTCTTCCCTGCTATTGCCTGTGCGATTGTGAGCAAGGCACTTTAGTTGTCTGGCTCTCAGTTTTATTTGTCAAACGAGGGAGTCAAGCTAGATCATTTCTAAAGTTCATTCCAGCTTTTAATTTAGGGATTCTTAACTTTTGGGGAAGAGTATCGTGGACACTTCACCCCCCCCCAAAAAAAAATCTGGTAAAGCCTATGGATCTCTTCTCAGAATAGTGTTTTTAAATAATTGAAGGAAATGCTAAATTTCAAATAGACGTTAGTGAAAATAAAGATGTCTTGTTTTGTTTTGTTTTTTTGCCCATCCAAGTTCTCTGAAATCTATTCGTGACCTCAGCAGGCTAATAACTCCCACTTTAATACTGTATTTTTTCTATCATGACCCCCCGCCCCGGCCCCGGCAGCCACATCACCCCCTCTGTTTAGTGGCCTGTTATCCCTTCACTTCTGTGGGCACTCACCCCAGCCCTGGGTGATGTAGGCTTGGGGCGGCCGAACGCTGCAACTGGCGAAATTGGCAGCGGTTCAGGCCACCTCCCGCCCATCAGACAATGCAGTTGCCTCGCAGGGAGGCAACCAGAAGGTCCCGGGAGCCTTTTACTGGGGTTGGGGCAGGGCTCAGAACCCGGAGGAACGGCTGCCGCCTCCCACTCTCCCACCCTCCGCTCCACCCCCTCTTCCTCCCTCTCGCCTCCAGTCCCGCCTGCTGCAGGGCAAGCTGAGGGGCCGAGCGGGAATCAACTCTGCACTAAGTTAAGAAAAGATGGGAGGCTCCTTCTCCCAGAACCCGAAAGACGCGGTTGGGGAGAAGCCCCAGAAACCCAGGGACCCTGTGTGAGTCGGAATACCCTTTCTGTTTCCCGGAGCGTGGCAAGAGTACGCCTCAATCTGGGTCCCCGAGGGGAAGGAAGGTGGCCAGGGCTGGTTCCCGAGGAGCCAGGCAGCGCCGGGACGTGCCCAGCTGCTGCAGCTGCAGCTGCTGCCGCCCCGCCCTCGCTGGGCGTCCGTCAGTCGGTCAGTCCGTTGGTCAGTGTTTGCAGCCTAGCCTAGGCACTTAGCAGCTCCTGGTGCCCCCAGAGCTCCCGGCTCACTCCGGGGGTGGGGCTGGAGGGGAG